CTCTGCCAGTTGCTTGCAAAAATTTAACTCATTAATCATCCGGACTTAAAGGACGAAAAGCTTTCGGGAAGAAAGAGAAAAGCTCTAATTTATGAAGAAAGAAAAGGTCCCAAGTCAACACCGGAAGAAATTCCTGCCTGCAGAGTGATACCAGAATATTAATCTTCCGCGGGAAAATGAGCTGCTTCACTATCAAATAAATAGATTAACATCCGGTTACTCTAATGCTCCCGAGTGCCTTAAATCTGCAGGGGCAGCCGCCAGACATCAAGGGAGGGGCCCCCACAGCGACACACGAGCCTGCCATGTAAGGAGGGACCCCTCGAGTCGCCTCACCCTGCTGGGAAGGGTCGGTTCATTCTCGAGTTTGGGGCTGGCTCAGGGTGTCACTGCACGGAGCTGGGATTCGCAGCTGACAGTGAACCCACCCAGAGGGGCATGAGGCCGGCCAGCGGGGGCTGCTGCTGGTTTCCGCCATGGCAAGGGAAGTCCGAGGTGAGCTGGGATGCAGAGAGCGGGGCTCTGGCGACTGCAAGGAGGCGACGTGGAGGAGGTTCCCAAGGGCGTGCTCCGGCTCCCCCCCATTGGCGAGCACTGGCTGTGAGCAACCCTCTCCCGTCTCTAGCCAGACAACTCCCACAACGCCGGCACCGTCCCTGCTGAGACCCGAGGTGGGACAGCATGTCACTGGGCTCCAGGGTGAGGCAGTCACTCCGTCTGACGTTGAAGGGGCTTTGGAAACATTAAATAATGAATCGCTGAGAAACTCACTCACAAGGGGTCCCGGGGCAGGAACACCTCCAGGGGGCATGCTCTGAAGTGCAAATCCCTAGAGGGTCGGGGTACAGCGGCCGGGGAACTGGACTCTCCAGCAGGACACTAACCCCCAGGGAAGCGCGCAGGGCATGGCAGAGACCCAGCCCTGATCAGGGAACCCGACGGCCGGCCTGTGCATGTGGTGCTGCGGTGGGCTCCGAGAGCTGGGTATGAGCCCCCGGGAGCGACCAAGACGGGAAGCCAGGCCCCCCCATGCCTCTCCCACCCCCAACCCCCACTGCTGGAAAAGCCGAAAAGCAAATGACCTGAAGGCAAAAACATGAGGAGACGAAACGCCCCAGTCTAATCTCGCCACACGGCCGAGCTGGATCTGACTTTATGATCAGCGACAAGGACAAGCGGAGGGGAACTGGGGGGACGACGGTGGCGGCGCCTGGCACGCGGCTCTCTCCCCTCCCACACGAACCATCGGAGAACCCCGGGGGGCGGGGAGAGGAGGGGGCCTGGCTTCACAGAGCAGCATGCAGAGCTGTGATGCAAACATCTGGAGTCAGGTGTGACCTCCAAGCCATGCTGCCCCAGGGGAGGCAGGGAGGAAGGCACAGTGCCGAGGACACGGTGGCATTTGTGTGGCTCTCCAGAGCAGACTGGGGGACGGCCTCTGCGCCAAGCCGGGCACGGGAAAGCGGGTCAGTAACACAAGTGAGTGGAACTGGCCGCTGGCCAGGTGCCTGAGGCTGTGGGAGTCAGAGAAGAGAAACAGGAGCTCGCAGGGCCGGCAGGGGCCAGGGACAGGCCTCGGCGTGTCTCTAGGCAGAGGAAGGACCTGGAGGAGAGGTAGGGCCCGGCCAGAGAGGGGGACCGCCCAGGGCCTGTGTCCCCCCCAGCCCTCCGTGCCTGCAAGAGGCGCGACCGTTGATGTCCCCAGTGAATGTCACACAGCCCCGTGGGTGCCCACCGATCCTGGGGGTGATGGCATAGGATGAGACCCTCTGTCGGGTGAGTGAGGGCCACAGGGGGCACAGGGCAGCCTCAGGCGGAGGCTCGGCGCTGAGTTCTCTCATAGGAGAAGAAACTGTGAGTTAAAACAATGGAAAATGTTGATATTCATAATTGGAACCAAAGAGAACAGTCGGTGTGGGACCATCGCAGGGCAAGTGAGAGAAGCTGCTAATCCCCCAGGACAGATGAGCGGGGTGGGCCGGCCTCACACCCCAACAGCTGGACGGCCGAGCTGGGGGCAGTGACCGGCGTCCGAGACAGACAGGGTGGCGGTGTCCCACCCCGCCCCGCACCCCAAGCAGCGATGCCTCATTCTTCCCCGGTGGGGGCGGCACTGCTGTTTCCAAACACTGTAGGTGGGAATCCATGTGGCGTCGAGATGGAGAAATACGGGAAGAGACTGATACGGACTCGACGGGGCTTCGCGGGCAGCCCAGGCCCCCCAGATCCAGAAGGTGAAAAGGAATATTGACTTGGAGGACAGACAGACTTCCCACTTAGCCATGAGCCCTGGCTGACAGCCACCATAACTCATAAACCCCATTAAAAGCTACTTCCGGCAATATTTCCTAGAAAAGTCAACTTTCTAAACTCTCAAAACGTATTTTAAATCAACAACTTACTGATTTCTCAGAGGGAGTGCTCGCATAATTAATTCCATGTTTCGATAAATGTGTAAGATTGATGGAGAAACTATGGTAGAAAAGACACGAGCGTTTTATTTCTACCCAAAGCTAAATTTGAACCCTTAGAACAGCCGCATCCCACCCCAAGCCCTGTCCCGCCCGCCACCGCCGGCAGAAGCTTTCACCGCGGGTGTTTGGTGCCGGCAAGGTTCCCAGCCGCTCCCCGGTTACTCATGGCCACATCATCACCGGACTGTTTCTGTTTGGAACACTGCAACTATCTCCAGATATATTTTGGGCGAATCAGCCATCCTCATTCCGCTCAGCATCTGCGCCTTCCAACACAGCAGCCAGGAGCTAACTTCATTTATTTTCCCCCAGGAGGGTCGAAGCCTGTTGGATTGTAAGACACGCCATGTCCAGCAGCTGTGTCCAGGGCGGAGGACACTGGCTCGGAAGTGCCTGGCCCCTGGGAGCAGAGAGGAGCGGGCGGCCAGCACCTCGGACAGCGCCCGGCTACCAGCGGGCCTTGAGCCTGTTTCCTGCAGTAGCTTCAGTGCCTAGCTGTGTGTCATGTGTCCTATTCGGTCGCAGGCTTTGGGGTTTGTGCGTGAGCGGCAAGACCATCACCCCCAAACCCTTTAATATCAATAAGGGCCGGGATCCAAAAAAAAGCTTTCAAATCTACTCCCGTAAGTTTTTCCCTCTTAAATTAAGCAAACTGCGACTGGGTTTTCTCCAGGAGGAAGTGACTGGCTGAATAGGAGCAGCTGTCTTTCAGCAGCGTTTTAGATAAGACGTTTCCTGTCCCTAATAAATTCTGAGATGGCACACAAACACTGCTGAGCAAAGGCTGCTCCGTTCAACACCGAGGCATCGGTTTTGTCATGTACTAAAAACACACACACACATACTGGATAAGCTGCTTCTCTGTCTTTATCTCTCTTATCTCTCCCCTTTGTATTTTTCCAGGAAAAAAAAAAATCTGATGTCATGACTTAATGAGCCTTGGGCAGAGAGCCTGTGACAGCCGTATCAGCGGAAAGGATCGACGCCCGCCAGGCGCCGGTCTGCGCCTCCGTCCAGTCCTCCTGCCCGTGAGAGGCCCCGGCCTCGCCAGCCCGGGGAGGAGGCGATGTATGGTCCGTGTTTACATGGAGAGGAAAAGAATGGGTGGAGACGCCACGCGCGAAACTCAGCACCGCCAGCCCTGCCCGCGGGCGCCACCCAGAGCCCACGAGGGGAACTGCACACGCCTCGAGCCCGGGCACAACCCGATTGGGTTTAGTCAGGTTTAAGGCAAGGAGGTGCAGCACTGCTGCTCTGCAATGCAGCACACTGTCCTCCCCGAGTGCTCCCTAGGCCTCCGGAATCCTCCCGCAAGCCCCGTGGGAGCCCTGCCCAGGCCTCAGGGCCCGGAAGCAGAGCAGGGGAGCGCGGCCACCTGCTCGGAAGGTGTCAGGGACAAGCCCTGTGACCCTGTTGGGCAGAGAGCAGGTGCCAGGGGAAGCCTCGCGCCCGGAGAGGCAGAAGGCAGCGCGCGCGTGTGCATGCATGCGTGCGTCTGTGCGTGTGCGTGTGTGTGCATGCGATCATGCATACACAGGGGTGCGTGGCGTGCAGACCACCGCGTGGCCTGTCACTTCTATTGTGTTCAAAGAAAAACACCAAAGAAAACGAGGCAGGAAGCATCGCAGAGCCTTGGGGGCTTTTCTTGGCCCCTTGAAGGCCCCTCAGTGGGGTCGCGGAGACCCGGAAACCTATTAATGCCCTCACCTGGGGCTCAGGCGAACAGGGGCGGCGGCACCTGGGGCTCCCGTGAGCACCTGTGTCCGGGCACCCACCTCCGCGTACCCACCGCTGCTGGCCGCGCGCGGCGCCGCCGGGGCCTTCTCGGACCTGGCCCCGGTTTTGTCCCCGCCTGGGTGTCTGAGCACTGCTGAGGTGCCGTCTGAGTCATCCGTTACTAAGGCGATATGCAAATCCAACCTTTGCACCCGGCCGGAGTAGAGCGTGGCACCGAGAAGTTTTCAGCCAACAAGGCAGGGAGGGAGGGGAGCGGCCGCCCGGGGGTCCCGGCGCTGCGCAGGGCCCGAGTCCCAGCAGCGGGCCTGGGCGCTGGGCTCCGGTGGTGTTTTTTTTTCCCGTGGGGGTGGGCGAGAATGACGCCCGCTCGGCGGGGGCAAGTGTCGCGGAGAAGTGAGAAGTCGCGGGGCTGAAGGGCAGCGGGGGCGGGCAGGGGGATTCAAGGGCAGAGTCGTGACAGGTGGGAGGGGCCTGGAGCGGCCCGGGACAGTCCCCTCCCGGCTCTCCAGGAAAACAGGGGTGTGTGTGTGTGTGTAGGGGGTGGGATCCAGTCGGGGGGCCGGCGCCGGGATCCAGCCCCCCGCGCGGGCCGCCCCACCTCCCCGCCCGGCCCGGCCGGCCCCGCCGCCCGCGCGCGCCCGGCGCTGCGCTCCCAACTCGTGGCCTCGGCGGCGGCCGGCTCGGGACGGCGGGCGGGAGAGGGTCGGCCCGGGGCCGCGGGGAGGAGGAGGCGCCCCCCGACCCGCCGGCCCCGCCGGGCCCGCCGCCCCCCACCGCCGCGGCTCTTACGTCCTCGTCGTCAGCGTCGCTCCGCGCCTGGTACTGGAACCGCGGCCGGCCCCCCGCGCCAACGCCGCCGCCGCGCTCCCGGGGCGCCCCCGCCGCCGCCGGCGCTCCCGGGGGCCTGGGGGCCGCGTCGTCGTCGGGCCCGGGCCCCCCCAGCAGGCGGCTGGCCTCGGGGGGCGCGGGGAAGGAGCGCGAGGTGTTGATCTTGCCCGTGAAGCGCTGGTACAGCGAAGCCATGGGGCCCGCGCGCGTCCGCGCCGCCGCGGCTGGGGCGCTCGTGTCGGCGGCTGCTGCCCACCCGCGCGGGCGGGCGGGCCGGGGGTCGCGGCCGCGGCCGGGCCGGGGGCCGCCGCGCGCGCTCGGGCCTCGCCGCTCCCGGGGCGCCCGCCGCGCTCACGGCCGCGCCGCCCCCTCCCCGCGGCTGGCGGCGGGGGCCGGGGGCGGAGGGTCCGCGCCCCCTCGCCCCTCGCTCGTCCCGGGTCCCGGCCGGCGCGGAGGGGCCCGAGGCGGGCAGAGGCCCCCGGAGACGCGCGCGGAGGGCGCCAGCCTAGGCCCGGGATTCAGCGCCGCCCCGAGCCCGGCAGCATCCAGGGCGCATCTCCGCTCCCCGCGCCCGGCCGCGCTCGGCTCCTCCTCCCCCTCCCCGTGACGGCGCCCGGGCGGCTGGGGGCTGGCGGCGAGGAGGGGGCGGCTCCCGGGGCGCGGGCCGCGCGGAGACGGGGCGGGGGCGGGGGCGGCGGGGCCGAGACCCCCCGGCGCGCCCCCTCGGCGGCCGCCCCGCGCCCTTGCCCTCGCTCGCGGCGGTTCGGTTCGGACCCAGCGTGCGACGGCCGGGGCTGGGGGGCGGGAGCGCTCGGGCGGGGCGGGGGGCGGCCGGTGGGCGCCCCCGAGCCCCGCGCCCGGCCCGGCCTCTGTCCCCCCAAGCCCCCGGGGACGGGCGCGGGCACGGGGCGCCCGTCCACGCCGCGCTCCGCCAGCCCCCGGGCCCGGGCACGCGGCCGCCCGCGACGCCGCCAACTTTCCCGGGGCGCCGCGGGCCCGCCCGCCCCCGGCCCGGCCACCCCGGCGCGGAGACGGCGCCGCCTGCTGCCCGGTGCCCGCCGGCCCGCGCGCTCCGACGCGCTCCAGCGCCGCGCTGTGGACAGACGGACGCGCGCTCCGAGCGGAGCCGGCGCCGGAGCCCCTCCGGGACCCCCTGCGCCCCCCGCACCGCCCAAGCCCTCGGCGCCTGGACAGCCCCCCTTCGGCGCCCCTGGGGGGTTCCACGGGCACTGGCAGGCCGGCGGCGCGCCCCCACCCACCCTCGTCTCTGGCGGCAGCTCCAGGTCTGGGGGGCGGGTACGGGGCACCCAGCGGGTGCACCAGCTCCCCTGGGTCTTGGGGCACATACCCAGACTCCCTGAAAACCCGCGGACACCCCGGGGCTGGCCCTGCCCTCGCCCCCGCCCCAGCCCCGGCTCCCCGCTCGGCCCAGGGGCTGCGCTGCTGTAATGTTTTTCTTCTCTTTTGCGTTTCGGGCCACTGGGCGTGCTCAGGGCGCGCTGATGGCTCTGCCCCCAGCGACCACTCCTGGCCGCGCTCGGGCCACATGTGGTGCCAGGGGTCACACTCCGGCCAGTCGGGTGCAAGGCCAGCGCCACCCACTGTGCGCTCTCGCTGCGGCCCCAGTTCCATGTTTTAATTAAGACTCGCTGGCACACAGGGGCTTCTCTGGGCGCTGTCCTTGCCCTGTGACCGGCGCGTGCTCCTGGTGGGCGTTGGAAGGCGCCTTTCCCTCACGGCCGCCTCCAACCGCGCGCACCGCGCGGCCTGCCCCGCGCCCGGAGCTCCCGCCCCGCCAGACCACGACAGAGGCGACAATTAGAGCGCAGACACGCAACTTCCAAAGGCATCGCGCTTAGCTAACGAGCTGGCTCCAGCCCGCCCCCGCCCAGCTGCGCTTTGATGGCAGGAAGCGCCCGGCGGCCTGTGCCAAGCCTGGGAGCGGGGCCCTGCTGCTCACAGCACCCCAACCTGACCTTTGCCAGCTCCGCCGCCCGGGGTCTGCTTATGCAATGGGCGGCTTATGCAACCCAAATTCGGCCCGGCCTGCACGAAGCGTGCACGTCCCAGCACAAATGCAGAACGCGCAGACACGCGTGAATACACGCATGACGTGCGCGCGCCCCTCCAAGCCGGACGTGCTGGCCCCAGCGCCAAGCACCCCAAGTCTGTTCCGCCGACTTTAGACAAAACAGCTACAGAGAAAGGCTTTTATGGTGTGTGAAATACTTGGCGGATGTCGTGGTGCCGTGCTTGCCGGCTGAGGGGCGCCGTGACCTGCCTCCTTAGACCGTGTTCCCACGCGAGCTGCTGGGGTCCCCGCCAAGGCCCACCCACACTAGAAAGCATGAGAGAAACGGCGTGGTAAGCGATTTCTATGTCGAATTAGTAAGTGAAAACGCCTCCTGGCTCTATTGGAGGTGAAATCGAGGCACACTTTTGTGCAGAGACAATCAAAACCTGAAGATTAAATGGGGAGGAAGGGGGATGGGGGAGGAGGAGCAAGCCCCGAGGGAGGAGGGGAAGGGGGTTGGGCGCCCTTGGGGGGGTGGGGGGGACACCCAGCAAAGGTAGCCGCCAGGAGTCCGCTGGACTCTGCAAACATGCCTGGATTCCTCTTCAACACAGTTCCAGAAATCCCTGCACAGCGTGTCGGGACCCCAAAGTCCCAGCAGCAAAAGGGCAAAGTGGTTAATATTTCAGGAGAGTGAGGTGATGGCGTTGCAGGGAACCGCCAGTGCCGGCGTTTGATGTTCATGGCCCAGAATCCATTCACTTATTGCCTCCCATAACTTTTCCAGAACCCCATTTCCCAAGTAGGGAAAAAAGAAGAGAAAAGTAGCAACTGTTTCTGTTACAGGATGCTGACATGCTAATGTGGGTGACCTAAGGGCCTGTCCAGGCCTCTCCCTGTGCCTCTGTGGGTCCTGGATCCCCTGCTGAATAATGTCCCCCCCCCCCACCTCGTGGGGAGGGACCGGAAACGCTCCTATGAAAACATCTCGTGCATCATTGTCGCAGACCCAGGTTTTAAGCCCTCATTCCGACTGAAAACCACGCCCACCATACCCTAATCTTCCATCTTGTGTTCTAGAAGTAACCCTCATCTCTTTAGGAGACGATTCATTTATTCGCCATTCATCTATTTCCTATTTATTTGTTTCTTATCTATTTACTGACGGTGTGAGTGTATGCTTCTTCTTCCTGCGATCCATTTTTGAGACCAATATGCCAGGTCATCGGAGTTTGGCAACGGCGGCAGAAATGCAGGGACAGTCATTTTTCAGTGACAGTGAAAGGCACCGTGGGCCCGCATGCAAGCTAAGCACGCAGGAAGCCCCGAAGTATATCGAGTTCAGCAGCCTAAGCATGATTTTTATTAGCAGAGGGAGCTCCTTACGTCTGGAAGAGAAGTCGGTGCTGTGGTTCACTGCCCCTGTCCCCGGAGGAGGGAGCAGAGGGCAGAGCCAGGCATAAGGGTTTTATTCCTCTCCGGAGCTAGGAGAGGGCGGACACTCAGCCTGCACCTCCATCACCCACCCCCGCGTCTTCGTGCAAATGAGGAGGGGAAAACGGTAACATCCGGCCCAGCGTGACACGAGCAACACCAAGACGCCTCCGAGGGCGTGTGGCTCTGTCAACCGGGAGAGAACCTGACATCTCGGGCAGGGCCGGCAGACAAACAGGATTCGCTAGTGCCGGCTTCTAAGGATCATCAGGTGACGAAAGTGTGACGAGTTCATTTTGAGCTTTCTGAATTTCTATTTAAATATGAATCCGCTGTAGCAAAACCAACCCTCGTCTCAGTACAAACTGTGCCGAGAGAGGAGGGGACGGGGAGGAAGGTGGGGAAGGGCCTCTCAGGGTGAGAGGGAGATTTGGGGGTGGGAGTGCCCACGGAGGGGCGTGAGGCTACCCCCTCCTGAATTCCCACAATGTGCGAGACCCTGCTTCCCAAAGTTGGGGCGCTGGAGAGATCCCGGGGCTCAGGAACCCTGAGTGCGATCGGGGGCCTTCGTTTGCTTAAAGAAGGAGAGTTTCTCGGGGGGGGGCACTGAGTCATTTCTCTCTCGAAAGAGGAGATCACGGAAAGTATCGCGGCCTCGCTCAAAGCCAAAGAAAACCATGTCAATACACAGTTCCATGTATTTTTTTTTTTCTGTCTTTGGTCCCTTCCTTGCTCATGGCAGTGCTCAGGGTCCACTCCTGGCCGTGCTGGGGGCTGAACCGGAACCGGCAACGTGCAAGGCAGAAGCCTTAACCCGTCACAGCTCTGCAGCCTAACGGAATGTTGCCGACGGGGGGAACCTTCACCCCACACACAGGCTGGGTGTCAGTCACGGGCTAACGTCTGATCTCCCGTATCACTGATGAAAACAAGGAACCAACGCCTCGTAGTAGCCTCCAACTGATGACACAAGCGGGTCGTGACTCCGAGAGCTCTGTCCTTCACCCCAAAGCCTGCCTTCCCCCAGGGATCCCGCCCTGGGCCCCCCTGCCCGCCAGCCACTACCGCTTCCTCTTCCCCGCCAGCCCCTTCCTTCTCGCTCTGCCGCGACTTCCCTCCACCACTTCCTGTTCCTCCTCCTCCCACTTCCTCTTCTCTCCCTCCTTCTCTCTGCTGCTCCCTCTCTCCTTCTATGCTTTATAAACACCAGTTCACGCCGCGCGATGTCCCGCGACGGGCATCTCGCCTGCCTGCCTCCCTGTTTCCTGGCTTCTTACTTCCACTCTGCAGAAACCCGTGTTCCTTCTTGAACACGGTTCCCTCTCGCCCCTCTCTTCTCGTGCTACACGAGCTCCGCCCCCCCCACACCCCTAACCCCCAAGAAACAGCCTTGCTCGCACACCCAGGCACCGTCATGAGAGCATCGCAGGAGACGCCGCCGGATGCCAGCCCTGCCAGGAGACGCCACTTGCTTGCTCATGGCCTACGGCCCGGACCCCGCTCTGGGCCGGCCCCAGCGGGAGGGAGGGTGCTTCCTGTCGCCTTCCGTGCTGCACATGGTCTTCCTCTCTGCGCCGAGTGACCCGGTCCAGTGCTCTGCCTCCCGCACGGAGCCCTGCCCGCTGTCTTCTCCAACTTTCTGATCACACACAGCGCTGGAGGTTTTCCAGGCTCTGCAGGAGACCGAGGTGGCTGGGGCTGGCGCTGTTTCCAGGTGTCCCTGGGGACCCTTCGAACATAACCAGGTCGAAATCTGAAACGTCTCCATTCACGTACCAGATGTTCCGCTGAGACATGC